CCAATACTATTTTGGGGCTCCTTACTACCTATTATAATATCATGGGCCCCAAACCCTGTTCTAGTTGTTAACGCGTATAGTAGGCTTGCGAGCTTGAGTAAGGCTCAGCGACGCTCAGAGTTTGGGGTCTCGGGTTTATGGGTTTACATTAATTAACCCTGAAGAACCTGCCGTTCTAGGGTTCGATATTCTGATTTCATTCTGAAAGTCCGTAAACAGGTAGGTTCTTCCTTGTCCACGTCGGGCTTTGTAGGGCTTGAACCCAGTCTTCGCGCAGGCATGGGGTTTACCCGTGACTTCGGGGAACCACCAATCAAAGGGGAAAAGGAGGGACTCTTAATGGGGACCCCTAGCCTATAATGGGCTATTTAATGGGTATATAATAGCTAATAAGGGTATACTAGGGGCCCTTATTAAGGGTCCCACCTTTTACCCTTACAAGGAAAGGGAGCGTTCGGGCCAAGAGGCTACCGACTTTCAAACTGGGTTTGAGACATCTCAGGGTGTACTTGGAGGGGCAGGGGACGTAGTAAGTCGTTTATAAGTAGCCTTAGAATTGGGGTAACTCAATTTAGGGTACTTATAACCCTACTTATTATCTACTTGCTAAGTCCCCTGTCCCTCCAAGTAAGGGTAGGTCTTGGGGCTATGCTTTGCAGCTAGGTCCTTCCGAGCTTGTTCAAAAAAAACACAGACCCTGAACTGAACTCTAAACCCTACCCGGCCCTACCCTAAACCCTGCACCTTTACGGCCCTTTTCGCGTGACATCTTCCCGCCTCATGGTCGGTGTCTCGTAGCCGTGCTGCTACACCCTGCGTCGAGCAAGTGTGGGAAGGAAGTGGCACTACACCACGCTAGGGGTCTAGAGATTTCAGGGTTTTAGGGGTTCAGAGTGACTCTGGGTTAGAGTAGCTCTGCGCCGCTTTCGGGATTCAGAGATTTCGAGGTTCAGGGAGTTTGCGACATGTGTGCATCCTAAGCTGAAGCTGACTTTCGAGATTCTACACTAGGCTCAACAATGCAATGAGGGGATCCCAACACCTACACGGCCCGAGCGCTCCACCCTCGACCGACGATCAAATCAGACCGAAAGCTTCAATCAACTCAACACCCTTGACACCAAAAGAACCATAAACCATAAATGGGTGGTTGTCAAAATTAAGATCCCTTTTGGGGTACCTTAATAATAGGTGCCGTACTATATTACAAAAAAAAGACCATAATTTTGACAACCACCCAAATAGAACCTGAGCCTCAAAGAAACCCTAAACTTTAACCCTGAAGTGAACCCGAAGTGCTAAACCCTCACTAGTGTCGTGATCGCATGGCCTACCATGTAATTAAGAGTCGATGTCGATGAACTCAAAAGGAACCCGCTCCTTTTGCAGGAACCCTGTACCAACCCTGTTGTACCCCGGTAAAGGAGCCCTCCCAAACAGCCCTAAACCCTAAACCCCTACACCCCTAAACCCTAAATCAATGCCTCAAAAAGCCACAATAAAACCCTAAACCCTAAACCCCATTAAAAAAACACATCGAACTAAGCCTTCAGAGCTCCCACGTCGCCCCAGGGAGCAACTCGCCTCGACAGGAAGCGCAAAAACGAAAATCCAGGGGTTTAGGGGTTTAGGGTTTAGGGTTTAGTTTAGGGTCCATGACAAGAAATTTGCAAGAATTCTGGGTTATATAGAGGGTTTGGAATTAGGGGTCAAGGGTTTAGAGGTTTGGAGTTGTGGATTTAAGGGGTTTGGGGTTTAGGAGTTTAAAGTCAGGGGTTAATTGATTAGGGTTTCAGGGTTTAGGTGTTTAGGGTTTATGAAGCAGAAGACTAGAGGCGTGTAGACCTGAGGGTAAGAATAGAGAGTTCATATGTTGCTTTTTGAGCTCGTTTTATATCCGCCCTATGGTGCAGCAGCTGGGGTTTAGCTTTCAACACCTAGAAAAATAAACAAACTAAAGCTTGGGGTGAAGCTTAAGATTTAGTGAAAGTTTAGGGTTTCAGTGTCATTTATGGGGGTGCACGGTTTAAGGTCTGTGATTTGGGTTCAGAATTTCGGATTTAGGGTTTAGGGCTTCGTACCCATGATCCTGACGAAGCAGTCTAGTGTAGTAAACCCTGAACACTAAACCCTATTAGCCCTATAAATCGTACAAACCCTCTACGAGCCCGATAAACCTTGTTAGGGACGCAGAAAAACACTTAAGCATAAGCATTTTAAACGGTGCTATCCCTACCTTATTGGGCTCCATTATAAGGGGGTTTATATGGGATATCCCTATCCTAATTTTTGCTTATGTGCTTTTTTTGGAGCCCTATTCAACCCTAAACCCTAAAAAACCCTATAACCCCTAAACCCTGAACCTTATGTGCTTTTTTGGAGCCTTACCTATGGCAACCCGACCTCAGAGCACCCACCGCATCGGCACGCGGCAAACCTCGCAGGCAGAGGCCTGCCAGAGACAAAATTACTACAGGGGCCTCAATAATTTGCGAATTAGCAGAGGGTTCCTTTAAAGGGGACTATAAGGGCTTTAAGGGATCCATAAGGATAGTATGATATAGGGGCCTTACTAATTAGAATAGGGTTTTGGGGCCCATTATACTGTCATCATACTAATTATTAAGGCCGCTATAGTAAATGATTCGGCGTGTTGGGTGCTATAGGATTTGTGTGTTTTGGTGTTCTTGGGGGGTCTAGGGGGCAGGGGGTTCTAGGGTTTAGGGCGTTTTAGGATTAAGCTTTACCTTTTGGGGATTCAAGCGTAATTAGGGACAAGACGTTGAGTTAAATACTTTTGCTTCAGGATTGCCGGTAGAGCTTACCCTGAACTGTAGTACATTGCTAGGATAACCGATCCAGTTCATGGTCGGGATAGGATTAAACATTCATTTTGTTATTCCTTATTGGGTTTATTGTAAGTACCCACAAAAATGTAAAATGTTACCCAACTATGACAAAGCGATTTTTGGTTTCAGGATGTTTTTTTGGAAGAAAAGAAGGCATGAGCCTGAACATTAACATTGCATCTCAAACCCTGAACCCTAACCCTAATCCTAAATAACCCTCACCCAAAACCCCAAACTCTAGGTCTACCGACTCCTAGGTCTTAGGGCCACCACCCCGCAGGCTTCTGAATTAATCTAGGGGCCTTCATAAAGCGGCTCGGGTTAAGGGTATATTCAACCACAAGTCACAACTTTCAAGATAAGCTAACGGAATAGAACTACGAATGATCATCATGCTTGCAAAGTTCCTTGCTATGGGTATGCGAAAAATCGTCGATCGCAGTCCCCCCAGGAACGCCTACTCGTGGACAAAACCTTCATGTCTCAATAACATGCTGCATTGTACAGAAAGGTGCAAGAAGAGACTTCAATCAAACAGTGCTTACGAAGCTGCTGGAAGCCCCCAGCTGAGAGAGGGTGGCTAACCGATCACAAACCTTAACTGAACTAACCAAACCCTGAGCCTTCAAAGAGTATTCCAGAACGGCCCCCAACTCTTGAAGAGCCTTCTTCGCAAGGCTCGGCCAAGGCCCGTGACGCTGCTAGCATCGTCGCACTGACCAGGGGCTGAAATTTGGCAGGTTTAGGCATTCTGAAGTTAGGACTTGGGGGGTTTAAAGATTGAGGGTTTAGGTTTTGCAGTAGGGTTCCGTATTGCGGGCTTAGGCTTTGACATAATGAGTAGAAATCATGTTCCACGGTTCGTCAACCTAGTAAACCAAGTCTCGTTGCTTTCCAAGCCATATAATTGCAAGAGAAACCCTACAGTAGAAGCCAGAAAGTTGGAATATGATTATCCTAACCCCTTTATGGTAAATTATAGGGGGTCCTACCATTAATCCATATTCCAACTTTCTGGAGTTCCCTTTAAATCCTGAGCCCTGCACGCTGAAGCCTGAAACTCTCGAAGCCACAACCTAAAGCCCTCAACACAACAAGACAGTAACGATCTCAAATTCCGAATCCTGCAGCCTAAGCCGCAAAACTTTAAGAAACCCTGCAACCCCTAAACCCCTTAACCCTCAACTCTCTCCGCCCTCACTCCCAAAAGCCCTAAACCCAAACCCTAAACCTCCAAACCTGTAAACCCTAAACCTTAAACCCCTAAGTCCCTAAAACCCTGAACTTCTAAAACCCTACACACTAAATCCTCAACCCCTACACTCTGAAACCCTAAGCCCCAGAGCCTAAACCCCTAAGCCCCTAAAACCTGAACTTCTCAACTCACTGGCCCAAAGCCCAAGGGAACAAAAGTTGTAACTTTCAGAATCGACTACCTGAATAAGAGCCCCCAAAAGTTGCAAAGTTGAGTTTAGAGCCAATAAGTCAACCGAGGGAGGCCCGCACCCTAGCCCCAAGAGTAACCTAGGCATAAAAAGGGTGCCCTTTTTGGGATTAAGGGGGTTATATGGGAACCTAAACCCTTAAAAAGGGTCCTAGCACCTGGGGCGAGGCATCCCATCCGGGTCCGGCGGATCCCACTCGTCCTCGGGCTCCGGCCTCAGTTTTGCTTTGGGCGGTTTATAGTAGAAGCCAGAAAGTTGGAACATGACTTTAGGAGGATTAGTGCTAGGATCCCTTATACTTTACGTTACGGGCATGAGGAGAATGACGTTCCAACTTTCTGGCTTCTACTGTAGGGGCTCAAGGTTTAGAGGTTCATGGGTTGAAGGTTCAGGGATTTGGGGGTTTAGGGGTTGGGGGTTTGAGGGTTTGGTGGTTTGGGGGTTTTCCGGCCACGAAATTGACCCGAAAGGTGCATGTAGGATATATGCTCTGCTGCTTTCGGGCTTGAGGCTTATGAAAGGCTTATGATTTAGCTGTTGTGCGTCTTGCGATTGGGGCACCCTCTCTGAACTGCTATGGCTACCAACTTCGCCTTAAACCCTTAACTCCATGCCGCGCGGCTTTTGATACCAAGTCGCTTGCACTCTTGCTCTTCAGATCGCATCATCCCTGCAAACGCTACATGCATGCGATCATTGCCAACGCTCAGGGCTCTTCGGGCAAGTAAGCAAGCTCGCCTTCTTTCAAATTGATCCCTGAAGCCTTTCCTGGAGCGGTGAAACTGTCTTGAAGACTTCCAAGAAAAGCAGCTGCATCACCGCTCATGTCCAATGTCCAGTAACTCATGATGTTGGATAGAGCCTAGGCTGGGCTCTGAAAGCCTCTGAAAATGCATTTTCAAAATACGCTCATCTTAAATCCAATAAGCAAAAGATAAAGTCTTCCCAGGGCCTACCCAGTCGCAGATCTCAGCCCCCAGCCATGGAAGTACCACCACTGCCCCCGAGCCTTGCGAAAGCGTCGTAGTACATGGCCGGGTCTTTTCCAAACTTCATACGCCGTCAAGTTCACAATCATGAAAGCCGTGGTTCTGGCCACGAGCGAGCCTACGATGTACACGAAGAGCATGTCCAACGTCGCGATTGTCAGAACCAGAATCGGTTGCAACTCGGGCCCAAGGGACCCATTTGTCACGGCCTCTAGAAGCTCACTGAAGGAGCCTCTCGAGATCTCGGGAAACACCGTGTCAAAAGCATAGAGGAAGACCGTGTAGTAGAAGTACAAGATGGTGGCAAGAAGCACCACGATGAACAAAAAGAATGACCTTCTAGGTGGGGTTTTGTAAGCCTTTGAACATTAAAATTCGTAAATACGATCCTCTTAAGCCCAATAAAAGAAAATATAAAAATGTCCCCCAAGCCCTACCTAGCCTTTGATTGCTCAGGCCAACGCTGTTGTCTATCCACGGACAAAAATGGTCCATCCTCTCGACACACCGACCTTGCTCCTTGCAATGATGCGAGCGCATGGTGCGTACTATGCCGCAGAATGCGCACACCTGCTTGAAGTCGCCTTTCTCCACCAATGTTAGATACCTAGGTTCCCCAAATTCCCCTTTACATTAGGGTACCCTTCTTCCTGGCAATCAGGAAAGGGCACTGCGGGGAACCTACCTAGACCCTTAAACGTAGTCCTTTTTATTGGAAGAAGCATTTTGTGGTTAGGATCCAGTAGGAAAAACCTATGTACCCACCCATATAGGAACCCTTAAACGACACCTTCAAGGAACCCTTAAAGGCTTAACGGAACCTTTAAACGGAACGGTTGATGATATAAATCCTGCATTACCCATAATAAGGAATGTACTGTAATTCCCATAGTTTAGGGTCCTTAAGGTAATGCCGGATTTATATCATCAACAGAAGTAGTGGGGAACCTAGATACTCACCACGGCCTTGCGCCAGGAGCTGCTCCACGCGAGCGCGTCCCAGGCTTTCCTGGGTTCTTGTGGAGGAATTTCATTTAAGTTACCATAATAGCCATAGTAATTAAGGGAACCATAAGGGCTCCTTTAAGGGATCTATTAGGGTTCCTTTAAGGGCTTAGGGTTTAAGCTTTGAGATACCATAATAAGGAAGCCATATATTTACTATAGATCTCGATAAGGATAACTTTAGTGAAATTCTCTAAACCTTAAAGGAGCCCTTATAGATCCCTATAATGGTAACTTTAATTAAACCCCTTAACCCCTAAACCCTTTTAGAACCCTTAATGGAACTCTAAACTAAGGTAACTTCAACTAAATCCCTTAACCCCTAAACCCTGATAGAACCCTTAATGGAACCCTAAACTATGGTAACTAAAGGAAAACTCCTTAGCAAGAACCCTAAACCCTAAACTTTCCAAACTTTAACAAGTACACAGTACACAATATGGGTTCTTGAAAATGGTAACTTTAGTTAAATTCCTTAATTAACAAGAGCCCAGCTTCTCCTGCAGCCCGTTCCCGCTCCGACAGAGTCGCTGTTGCCCGCTCCAGAGGGGCCTGCACAGTACCTGGGTGGCCCCTAATACTAACAGTAAATATTGAAACTTAGTACTAGTGATCATACTACTAAAAATAGCAATAAGAGCCATAAAAAAAGCGCAATAGTCATGATAATCGTAATCATAACCATAATAGTTCAAGAATAGTTCGCAATAATAATCTTCACCATATCAGTAATAATACTGGTACCCTGTCCTCTCCTATTTGCTTTAACAAAGCAACGCCAAAAGGCAAAAGTGTACTTCTGGGGAACCTAGGAACCGCCAGCAATGAAGCCTGAGGCGATCAATGGCTGCATTTCGCCTAAGGCTGGGCTTCGAGCACCGACGAGGCCGCAGCCTTCTTCAAGCCGTCTGCGTGCTTCTCCTGGGTTCAGCTACAGTTACCGTTTTAAGGATCTGTGGTAACTAACCCTCTCCCTCCAAGGATCTCATAGTTAATTTAAGTTACCATAGTAATAATGAAGCCATATTAGTTACCATAGATCCTGAAAGTGTTAACTTTAGCTGTTCTCCTGGGTTCGGCTACAGTTATCATTTTCAGGATCTATGGTAACTAGTAACTAATATGGCTTCCTTATTATGATTATTACTATTATGGCAAGTTAAATGAAACTGTTTAACAAGAACCCAGTCTCGGAGAAGTTGCCGCTGATAGTTGCACTTGTTCTGCTCTAGCTCCAGCTTCCTAACCTCAAGGGCGTCTCCATCACCTGCCGAGTAGAGCTCCTGAAGCATGCTGTCACAGTGAGCCATCTGCGACTCGATCGGCTGATCAGCATCAAAAGTCCGCGCTGGATCTTTACCAAGCAGATGGGTCTGGGAGGGCAAGGTACCTGGATGGAGCCAGCCAGGATCCGAAAAGAGGCACCGCAACCAGAGCAGCAGTGACAGCCCTATCAGAACCGACCAGCACATGACGGCTTCAGGATTTCTGGCAGCAATTCCTGGCGCGATGATAAGGGCGAAGATGATGATGTGGAACGCAACGAAACACACGAAGACACTTGGCAAGAGATTCGTGAAGATATGTGGTCTGCCGAACAGAAAATTACAGATCTGGCACTTGTGGAAGGCAACCACCAAGGACCTGTTCCCCTTACGCAATGCGAGGGCGATCGGCGTTTCCCCGGTGCAATCTGGGACGTCTATGAGGTCCACAGCACCGACTTCCATGAGCATTTCCGCGATCCGCATATGTCCTTTCAGCACTGCCCAGTGGAGCGCTGTCATGCCCTCTCGGTCTCGGTGAACGATGCTGGCAGACCGGGAGAGCAACCACTGGACCGTCTTCTTATTGCCCTTGTAGCAGGCCCACTGCAGTGCGGTTCTGCCGCAGTGATCCTGCTCTTCCAGGCTGATGCCTTTCAAGTACAACCACTCCATCACGAGATAGTTGTCTGTCTGTGCGGCCACAATGAAGGGCGTGAAGCCGTCACAGTCGCGAATTGAGAGAAGAGCTCGATTGCTCCTCGTCATCTTGTCCAAAGCAATGACATTACAAGAGTTCGCAGCCCAGTGTACTGCAGATTCTGCGGAATTGTTGCCAACATCTGGTCTCGCCCCTCTTTCCAGCAACGGGTCGAGCAGTGAGTCCAGCCTGAGCAACGCAGTATAGTGGAGAGCTGTGTTGCCATCGGAGTCCTGGCCATCTGCTCTGTATCCCTGCGAAAGCAGCTCGATGACTGCCTCAGTGTTCTGGTGTGCGGCAGCCTCTGCAATGCATGCATATCTGCCGCTGCTGCACGGTGCGGGATTTGACGAATCCCTCCTCATGCCCAAAGGCAACTGATGACCATCCTCCACAACTCGATCTCGATTTACCATGGCCAAACTACCACTTTACGTGTGCGTTTGAACCGTCTCGGGGCGCCAGACGAAAGTAAGTTGAAACCCGAACCTTCATAGTGAGAATCGGCTTCTACATGCTACATATCGTATTCTTTAAGTCCAAGGATTATCCACGTGCGTTTTCAATTCGAAGAGGGTGCTTCGGGGCGCAAGGCACACGATTATTGATAGTAGCTCAAACCCCTGCGTACTTAGTATTGGAACGTGGTGGCTGACATGGCCGTTGTGTGGATCTAGGCTTCCGAGTGAGTGGCCCCTTTATAATAAGAGTAGTCTTTTTCCTACTGTTCGATCTTAAAACGGGGACTCTCAACTATAAACGGCAAAAGGGTGCAACTCAGGAACCCAGGGAGGCACTCCGGACATGCATGCGACTGAGCGTCCCTAAACCCTATCTGGACCCTAGAGAACCTACCTTTAGGGGTTCCTTAAGTTATGGTTTCCTTAGACAAGTCCTTAGAAAGGTAGGTTATTCGGGGTTATAGAATTCCGTATAGAGCCCCTAAGAGAGACCGTAAAGGAGCATGTGAGGTAGGTTTAGGGTGCAGGTAATCCCTAACAAAAACCAAAGCTCCGCGCCCAGAGGCCGGGGCAAGATGGGATCAGCAGTGCTGCTGCGACGGGTGCTGTTCCTGCTTAAAGGCTCATGGGACTTAATAAGTTGGATATCCCCACTTAGGGGACTTATAACCTCAGTTATAACCTACTTACTAAGTCCCATGATCCTTTAAGTGCCGGGTTCAGGAGTTCTACCGTGCCTTTAGGCGTTGAGGGTTTAGGAATTAGGGTTTCCGCGCCTTGGGGTTTTTCTACTCCCCTCTTAGAGCCATAATACAAATAGTTGTTTCAATTTTCTCTTGGGTTTTGTATAAAAAATTAAGGAGACTATAGTTTTGTGCTGGGATGCATGTACTGTGGAGCTTCCGTCAAGGCTTTTGGGCTCGTGGCTATGGGCTGACAGTCCGGGAGGCTTCCAACACTAGGGTTTAGTTTTTTTTTTTTAAGCGCCCCTTTAAAAAGGGTTTAGGGTTTAGAGTTTAGGGTTCAGGGTCGACGACACAAGCTCTGCAAACAAAGCCCCCGAAACTCTACAGCCTGAAACTAAACACTGAGCCATCGAATGCTGAGCCCCAAACTTTGCCTTAACCCGCAAACCCTAGTAACCCCAATGTAGGGCCGGGATAGTTGGAATAGGGTTGTGGGAAAATTTACAGTATAAACATATGAAGATACCCGCAGGAATGATAATATTCGTAGTCTGCCGACTCGTATACTATACCCTAAACGTCCTAAATCTCTCTCGAATACCCTCATGACTTTCACGGCTTGCCTGCCACCGGCACGTGCGCCACTGAGGCGCCTCCTGGCCGCGATAGAGCGGTGATGCTGAAAGCAGGGTTTGGGCTGTATGGTTTGGAGATGATGGTGATGACGATGGTGATGATGGTGCTGACGATGACGCTGGTGATGATGCTGGTGATGATGATGATGATGATGATGATGATGATGATGATGATGTTGGTCGTGATGATGATGATGGTGGTCGTGATGATGATGATGATGGTGATGATGATGGTGAACATGGTGGTGGTTGCAATTTTGCTGTGGAGACCCATGGGTATCTTCGTAGCATGAAAACTGCACGACAGCATGCCACATTGTGAACAGGAGTGCCACACATCGTCGGAGCAGCAAGCACTGACAAACTCACGGTTCATATGCCGACATTCCCCTCGGGCAATCCATGTTGAAAATCCTGGCTCCTTTCGTTCAAATGTGGTGGGGCTCCTATGGCTGGGATTATTCAGGTCTACATTAACCCTCAAGACGTACTTCGGACTGCTCATCCCCTGCGATCATGCAGTGACATGGCAGCTTTTGGCGGGAATTTTGGGACACGTCGCAGGATCCAACGACGTAGGTGCATGATCATTGCTGAAAAGGCTTGGAGTGGTAACGGCCATCAAACCAGCAGCAGGGTAGAGTAGCCGGTGGCAATTTTCGCAACAAGCAAGAAAAAGTATGATGGCGGCCATCATCGCGTTTCGAATCCTCATCTCCATGTCCATCATGAAGTCCTTCTCATCATCGGCACAGTCAGTCGTTGTTTCAACATTGGCATTGGCTAAGGACTTGCGTAGTGTTTTGGGCTTCTGACCATAACTCCAGCGCCCTAATCCCTCCCGTAGACTCTAAACCAAAACCCTAAACCCTACCAGAAAAAACAAGCCTGAACTGAACTTATGAACCCGAAAAGCCGAAGCTTCTTGAACCCCAAACGGCAGAAACAAAGTTTCTGGTTTAGGGTTTAAGGTGAAGACCGAGTCCTGCCGCCAGGACTACCATCCCCCGACCTGACTTTGTCGGTTTAGGGTTTTGGGGTTTTGGGGTTCAATATTTTAGGGTTTTGGGGTTTAGGGTTTAGGGTTTGGGGTTTTCACACTGCTTTTTCTTGGGTGTTTTAATGGTCCAGGGTTCAGTTTTTTTAATGCAATGCCCTTTTCCTTGCGTCCAAGGGTTTGGAGGTTTAGGAGTTGCTTTTTGTTTGGGTTACGTGCTGCGTTTTAATAAGGCCTTTTAGGCGTTGTAAAGGGTCAGGGGTTTCGGAGTTTTGGTTTAGGGTTTAGGAGTTCTGGTTTAGGGTTTAGGAGGTTTGGTCTAGGGTTTAGGGTTTAGGAGCTTTGGTCTAGGGTTCAGGAGTGTTGACTCAGGGCTGAGGGGTGAGGACTTAAAGGTGACATTACGGGGCATCTCAAGGCTCATTGCCCGCAGTGAACCAGGGATCCCCACCGGTCCAAAGGATCCAACTACCGAAGTATCATACAGGTTTTATAGGGCCGTAATACTTGGGTTTAGGGTTTAGGGTTTTATACAGTAGAAGCCAGAAAGTTGGAACATGAGTTTAGGAGGATTAGTGCTAGAATCTCTTATCCTTTACTTTAAGGGCATGAGGATACTAATGTTCCAACTTTCTGGCTTTTACCCTATACTCTCCAAGGTAGTCAACTCCATAACTGCACTCCTAAACCCGAGTACCTACTCATTGGGTCCTTTCGGCCCTTAGGGGAAGTTTCCGAAGTGCCTTTACGCAGCCGACTGACAAGGTAGCTTTCTTGTGCACCAGGGCAATGATGGACTGGGCGAACGACGAGTCCGTGGTGAGTTGCAGCCGATCTTCATGTGTGGCTTGATTCATGATGATTGTGGCCTCGTTGTCCACCGAGCCGTTCGCCTCAACATTGCATCATGCACAGTATCTCGTTCCTCCGTCTCCTTTAACAGACAACTATACCCTGAACCCTAAACCCCTAAACCCTAAACCGACAACAGCAGTTCATGTGCCTGCCCATCTTGGCAGAAGGCACCGAGCTCGAACCCCAGGCGGTGAAAGGGGCGATCCCAGGCACGGATAAACTAGGAGCCTTGATCCTGAGAATAGGGTTCCTTT